GGCCGTGTTCAGCTTGAATTTGTGTAAAAATTCATCAGATAAACGACCTTAAAATCCATTGCAAGGCGTTTTTTTTACCAAATCAGTAACCAAAACCTCTATATGGGGTAGAGCAGAGGGTCCAAGAGGGGCTAGAACTCTGCGACACAAAGTTTGTAGCAGGTGACATATAGGACTGCCATGTAGTAGGACGTTCTTGAACTGCTTGGATGCCAACAACGTGTTGTGGGTCATTGGTGGCTACCAAGTCAACGCATTGCAACCCAGATCCAAGCCCATAGCTTCATGTTGCTCTGGACCTCTCAGTTCTCTCCCCGTTGCGGCTTCTAATTGTTGGGTTTATGTGGCATTTAAAGGTCTTATGAGAACTTGTATGAGCATTTTATATAGTGGAACATAAACTCAATGGGAGTGTAGTTCTTTTGTGGACCATACTAGGCAAATGTTATTTGCTGATACTCAGACTAGGCTCGACGAGCTAGGCCAGCCGAGGTTTGGAAAAACCCAAAATACATGGGCATAGGGATCTACCGAGAAGGGTTTAGCGGGTTATCCTTTGATGAGGTCGAAGTATGCACAGATGAGAGCCAAGGGATTGTGTGGCCCTTGCGTATGATGAATAGCCTTTAGAGACATAGTTAAAACCTCTTCGTTATATCATCACACGACATGTACATAGATAGTCGTTTTGAGATTCACCAATAAGGGTAAAGCGTATACATGTGCTAGAGATTACTCCTATGCACCATAGAGTCATGGTTGCATCATGATCTGGAGGACCATGGTTTATAAACTGGGATTGCGTCCCCTAGTCTATTGGCTGACTTTGGTAGTTAAATCATGAACCCCTGCAGTGGACTGTCGGTCATGGGAACTACTGGGTCAATTTGAGAAAGCTCGACAGCTCGTGATTCACAGTTGAACGTGAAGTGCTCCCATATATTGATAATTTCCTAGATCCAACAGATCCAATTCCCATCAAAATTAATTAATTTTATGTTATGTGATTTTTAGAATGTTTATTTGAATTTTTGTGAATCTTATGATATTTTATTTTTGTCATTTGGATTTATAAATTAAGATGAATTCATTTTTCAATGTTTTAAATAAAATATAAGATTTAAAAATTTTAAAAATGAAATAAAATGTTTTCTAAAAATATATGGGACCTCTATAAAATATGGGGCACAAAATTTAAAAAGATGTGGACTAGGTGGGGCACCAGATGGCCACCAAAATAGGGTACGCCCCACCCATTTACGTAACATTCTTGGGAATAATGTTTATCCTCTTGGTTGGCTTATCTTTTTATGTATAACCAACTTATGTTATAAGGTTGAATATTTGAGATATTTACTAAATCTTTAAATCAAGATTAGTTGATCTAATAATTAAATATTGGATATATTAAAATATAAGTTTTTCTTATTTGATGGGAATAAATTTAAGAAAGGGTAGATAAGGTTCTAGCTCATCTCTTTGAATATTAAAATATAAGTTTTTCTTATTTGACGGGAATAGATTTAGGAAATGGAGGATAATGTTCTAGCTCATCTCTTTGAATCTTGATGGTGGATCAAAGAGATGGATGACTCAAATCTCTCACTCCACAAGTCTCTTTAGATTAATGGTTGATATTTGACCCTACGAATTGAGGCAAAATCTATGACATAGAAAATTTATAAAAGAAGGTCTCACTTCATGAAATGAGATATGTATTCTCTTCTCTGTCTTTAACAATTCTCTCTCCATACCCTCTCTCTAGAAAGGGTTTTGGATTAACAAAGGAAAACACGCGCCAATTTTTTATCTCTCTCCAAGTTGCACTATGTTTTGGTTTTTTATCTCTTTCCAAGTTGCACCATGTTTTGGTGGTACGCATCACTTATGATCTTTATGGGTGGCCAAGAGGTGAAACCCTTTGGTAGTAGATCTTTCCATCTCTCTTCATATTCATCTCTCATCTCTCTAAAATCAAACTAAGAAGCTTAATCAAGATTAAGTCATTGAGTTGATTTTTTCTATAGTAGGGAATCAACATATCAATCATATATCCTGAGCACCATCGGAAAGAGGAAACTCGACATGGGGCGTACTAAGCCCCGTCTCCGGTGATTTTACCTTTTTAAATATTTACTTCTCTTCCCATAAAGCAATAAAGTCTAGTTTTGTTCTTTGAATAAATAATTCCCATAAAGCAATAAAGTCTAGTTTTATTCTTTGAATAAATAGTTGTATTTGAAGATATAGCAATTGAGAATCAATTTTATTTTTATTTTATTTATTTCAAGAGTGGTTCGATTATAATTGTAAATTGTAAGTGATCGTGCTAATGTAGGGGTAAAGTAAATTTTTTTATATGTATACCGTGTTTTATCATAAAGTCATTTCACTAATGCCTTTCAAACTCTTTGGTTTCTAATTTCAAAAAACAAAAATGAAAATAAAAATTAAAGGAGAAATAAATAAATAAATTTATCCATTATTCTTCTTTTTCTCTATCGTATTTGTATTTTTTTAAATTTCTGCTTGCAATATTTTTTAGTAATAGTTGATTTACTTGCCCTACTGCTTGCTTTGCCAAACCATTGCACCACATGCATGTATGCTCTTTTCTTCCCCTTTGTCTACATAACACCCCAAAATCCATTTTTCAAAATTTTCAAAAACCCCCAAAACTTGTATTAAAGCCGTGAGGGAACATTGTTGTTGGGAGTGTGATAATTGGGGTTTGCACATGCCCTGGGCACCCCTCCGCAATTATTTACCCCAAAGTACCCCACTCACATATAGTAAAACCATCATTAATTCCTTTTAAGATGTGGCTTGGGACTTACGTGGGTACCTATTGAGACCTAATTTCATTTCAGTTTTTTCTTAACTAGAAAACCCATCTTAATCTATTCATAGAAACTAGGTGAAAATTTCAATCACCTCGCTTAGTCTAATTCTATTTAGATTTGTATCGCTTGGTCTATATAAGTTAGGTCTAAGCCTTGAGTTTAGCAAAGTTCAAACGTCATGTTCAAGACTGAACTAGGGTGAGGTCTAAGTGCTAACTCCACAACCTCATCCTAACCTAGGGCTAGGCATTGAGTCACCGGCTCGAGAGGCACTACACAAAATGTCCCTCGAACGCATAGTCGCCATGAATGTGAGTTTCGTCACAACCCACAAGTAACCGAAAATTGCGCATAGACCAACCTCATCCCGTGGCCCTTCATTCTTTCCAAAATTGCCCAACATTTTTAGCACCGGGTAGATGAGAAAATGAGCAAGTTTTTTTATTTTTCTGATACTCAGGTCCTATCCGATGCTATTACGTGTTTCTATTGTTGGATAATTTAACTTCCTAATGGCATTAAAAATATCGGACTTAATATACATAATAATTATTATTTATTTGTATAATAGAATTTAATCAGTATAATAGAATTTACTATAAAATAATATTTTTCTATTATGAAATATTTAATAGATAGAAATATTTAATTATTAAAATATTTATTCTAATATAAGAATAAAGATTTTTATTATATCGTTAGATCTTAATTTAAACTTCTTTTAATTCCATTTTATTTCATTTTTATTTTTCTAATTTTACAATTATAATATAAAATATTTATTGTTTCATTTTTATTTTTTAATTTTATATTTAGAATATTGAACTATATATTTAAAATAATAGGCTGCTAGAATAGAAATATAGGCCTTAACCCAGAGAAACAACTGACATGCTGGCATTCACGCAAACCAACATTCTCGCAAAAGGCTGTTGGTGTGTTTGAAGTTTGAACAAGAAGAACAATGGCTTAGAAGGGGACATAAATTGCATTAAGCTAATTAAAAACTATGAATTACTTACAATGAGTCCAGTTTTTCCTAATGCCAACCAGGTTAGAAAGCTAAACCGTCCAACATTTGAAACACTTGTTAGATTTCGTTAATATCAGATGGTCCTGGCAAATAGAAATGGCTGAAAACTCCTGGATTTCTCACCAACCTCATGTTGCAAATATCATATAGGTGGTAATTCAAAAAAGAAGAAGAAAAAGGAAGAGTTGGTCTCCACGTAATTTGCGCATAAAATTGTCGCGTATTGTGATAAAGGCCCCAAAATATGTCGGCGGGTTTCCCTTGCAACGAAAAAGTTTATATAAAGTGTCAACTGTATTATGTACAAGTAAGGTTTTCTAGTCCTAATTTTTTTTCCTATTTTGTAAATGGATTGCATACACCATTTACCTTTGATATTAGGTAGTCATAATTATTTACAACTATTTGATGTGAAATTTGATAGCTTGGATGTATCACAAAGTTTGATAAATTTTTTTTTTAAGTTTGAGCTTAGTCAATGGAATAATTGCGGCTACTCAGTTTTACATCTGGTGGTCAAGATCAATGTGATCACTTTGTAACAAAGGTAAATGGTCTCATTTTAAACTTTTCCTATTGTAAAACCCTCAAATCGGTCATCTCGACTTCAAAATTCATAGATATATATACAAAAAAAAATTGTATACAATGAGACCATTTACTCTTGATACAAGATGGTCACGATCTTTTACAACCAATGATGTGAAATTTGATAGCTTGGATGTATCACAAAGTTTGATAAAATTTATTTTGAAGTTTGAGTTTGGTCAATAGAATAATTACGGCCACTCAATTTCACTTCCAACAGCCATGATTATTGTGATCATCTTGTATCAAAGATAAATAGTTTCATTCTATATATGTTTCAAAAAAAAATTATGGCTTTTAGTCCTAAAAAATAGTTCATCTACCAATACATTATCCAGACCGTTCATTTTTAAACATTTCAAGTACTTATAGATCCGCTTGGTCGCCGCCATTTTTGAAACTTTAAATTTCATAATTGCCAGTAGCAATAAATTTTCATATGATTGACTTTGCATTGCAGTGCCGAATTGCATTTTACACCTTCCTGATGTTGACACCTTATATACCCCTTTAAAATATGATCCACTTGATAAGGAACCGGACGGCAGCCCACATCGTCCTTTTACTCTACCGAACCCCCTTTGTATGAGACGCTACACTCTTAGCCGCAATCCGATGCATGCGCTCTCTCTGAAGCTCTGTTCTTCGGCACCAAACCCTAAAATGCCTGTTAAAACGGTACGGCGAACCCCTTCTCTCTTTCCTCCATTTATATGCGCTGATTGTGCCTTTTATTTTGCCTTTTGAAGGTCAAGGTCTCGATCAAGGGCAGGGTTCAGGGCGTCTTCTACAGGAAATGGACAGCTGAGAACGCGCAAGAGCTAGGTCTCAAAGGCTGGGTTCGTAACAGGAGAGATGGCTCGGTGGAGGCCCTCTTCTCCGGTGAACCCTCCTCTGTCGAAGAAATGGAGAAGAGGTGTCGTCGAGGCCCGCCTGCTTCCATGGTTACTGGCCTCAATGTGTCTCCTGTTGATGAAGATCCTGGCGATGGCTTCCAGTTGAAGCCCACTGTATAAACCCTAATCTCTTTCTTCTCTATCTATTGATGTAGTGCCTCTCTATTCTCTCCAACTCCTACCATAAATATGTATAAATATGTAAAACTTGGAGTGGTATAGCGGCATATATGGATTAAAATTTAATGCGGGTGTCTTTCTGTTCATCCTATGCGTGTATGACAGTGTGTGTAGAGAGAGAGAGAGCTTCTGTTGTGAAGTTCTTGGACATGGTGGATAAAGATAGCATGAAAATTGACCTCACTGTTTCCTTTTATTCGATACAAGCGATTCTTCGTCAGTGTTGCACAAACCCCTTTCATAGAGGGTAAATCAGTAGAGATGCTCTCTTAGCTTGTTCCTTCACAAATTTTAGGTACTATATAATAACTAGGGAGACATGAATCCTTGCAAACTCTCGTGGGTTCTTGGCCTTTTTGGTCTTGGTCACTCTACCATGGCTTCAATTTTAGGATCCTCTCAGTCCCTCTTTTGGGATAATTTGGCCCAAGTACTCAGCCTATTGTTGACTAAAGGAAGAATTGTTTCACATAATGTAGGTGCTGTTTGAAAGTCACTAAGGTAGTTTATGAATGGTTTTAGTGTTCCTCTCAGGCTTTGTTTTAGGCAAGTTTATCATCAAAGGGTACTTGAGGTTTCTTTTTGCGGTGGCAAGAGATGATATGCTTTGAGGCTTGGGTGGCGATTCCCATGGTTGTCGAGAATAATACTTTGAATCAAATGGTCCTTTTAAGAGTGCACTCCTGCTGCACTCTACTTTTTAATTGCACCCTGATTGTAAGTTGAACTTCATAAATACATAGCTCCATAAAGTTCATCAAGTCATTTATCAGTTACTCATTTATGCGGATTGAAATTTATTCTCTAATGGTAATCAGGACACATGAGCTAAGTGTAATCCTATTCTCAAATTACGAGTACCAACAAGCTGGTGACTAGGGGCTAATGCACTAGTAACCCTGAATCCAGCATTTTCCATTCTTGCTTCTCAATTTTGCTTTCCATTAGGTGGGATGCCTGTAGGAATAAGTGTTCAATGTTCAAACCCTGGGTGCAAAGTGAAAACATGGTCCTGGGAGGGGGTCGTTTCCATCCCAATACTTTATTTCAAGGATGACAGCAGGTTGTTCAAGGGAGGTCTGGGTTTCCTAGTTGTGGTAATGAGTTCGAGATAAATGGTTGGTATGTAATCCTACTCACTAAATTCTCTATTTGATGAATGCTAACAATCTACATAGAACTGGCTTGTATGTCCAATACTGCATAACTATATTTGGTGATCCTGCAATAATTCATTTAAGTCTGACAAGACAGGTCCTAGTGCCCTTAATCATCGTGTGCAAAGGACCATATTGCACCCACCTGAGTAAAGGGGATATATATCTGATAGGCATTGTTTCTTGCCTGTAGTTTATGTCAAATTGTGATGTTTAGTTGTTATCACACTTTGGTATTCCCGCATGCGACCTGTTTTCTGGAAATTATCGCATGGATATTATGGTAAAGTTGATGCATTTCGCTAAATGAGAGCAATATTATTATGGACATCTTCATAGATTTAGAGTTGGTGCTCTTGGCAAGGGGTGTGCAGTTGATATTCCCAGAACGTTCTCCTTGCAATCTTCCCCATCTCCTAAAAAGCTAAGGAAAAATAATCATCTTCCTAATCCTATTCATACTTTGAGGTTGTATCTTCGTTTAGCAAATACAATTGTTTTCTTTAATCAAAGACATACAATTATGTTTGCATTTAGCAAATAGCATTGTTGAACATGTTTATTTGATTTGTAATTTGCAAATACAGTGGTGAACAATATAGCTGTTGTTCCATGTTTTCTCGTATCATTTGGTGGGAAGCATCTAATAGTAATTGGGGCTCTAGAAGCAGAAGCTATGGGACTTTAGCCAGATTGAACTTGTTCATCCTTTCTTGTGGGAGAAGTTTGACACATTGTTTAGCGGAAAATGAAATGGAGTGTGATAGAAAAAAATCATGTTTCATAGTGATTTGTTTGGGTATTTTTCATATTTACATAGAATGCCACTTATCACCCATCAAAAACAGTGAATGCGATTTATTGACATTAGCACTCATCAGAATATGGCAAGGCATTGATCAATTGTCGGTAGGCATGTCATCGGAATATGGCAAGGCATTGATCAATTGTCGGTAGGCATGTCATCAGAATATGGCAACGCATTGATCAATTGTCGGTAGGCTTATGGTGGCTTTGGGATCGTGGAATTATTAATTTCCCTCTTTGATTACTAAGCATTGTAAGGTTGTGTTGGTTAGGACCTGTATGAGGCCCTTAACCACTTGGTCATTTGTTGCTATACCCTGTGCAGTGGCCATTTCATATGTATTCAGCTTATGAGGTTCTCATTTACAAGTCCTCTCCCAATGTTGGTGAACTTAGCCACTGCCTAGTGATTTGTAACCATTGCTGGAGATACCAGTTCCCTAGATCATCAATATAGTGAATGGAAATGGCTTTGTCCTGTAGCAATATATAGGTATGTTTGCATTCATGTGGTTATTCTATAATTGCTGAATGTACTTCTGATGTGCAGTGATTGAAAAATAGCCGATTCGGGCTTGAATATACGTGACTGACTTGGACCCGGATGATTGACCCTAAAAATTTGGGCAGGTCTGACCTGAATCCTAGAAGCTTAAGTATATGTAAATTGAGACTTGCTGAGTAAGGTGCTTGGACTTGTCCAAGTCAGCCTGTGACTTGTGCTTGGACCCTGGTGAGTCAGAGCCGGAGCCCTGACCAGTGATAACATTTCAGATGCAATTTAGAAACCAATGCTTGAAGCAATCATGTGTCTTCAAATTTGAAATCCCATCCCTGTCTTTTCAGATTATCTTTCTTTCTTAATTGTTATGGTCCTGTGAATCTTGTGATTTCCTAGCAAAAAGATTTCAATTATTTATCATTTTCACCTTTTGCTAGGTGTCTCAAACCATATTCTAAGTTTCCAACTGATAAAGAAATGGGGTTTCCAAGAAATGGGACATTGTTTTAGTGAGAATAAACTCCGATAGTTCTAAAAAGCTAACCACATTGTATATTATTGGGTGCGGTTTGTATAGAGCCGAGGCTCTAAACAATCAAAGTAAAGTGCACCTTCAAATAATGTCAAGAAATGTGGCTTCAATACTGAAAATCTTTGTGATAACCTTAAAATATATTTTCATCTTTAATTATAAAATTTTAAAGCTTCAAAAATAGTGTAGATCAAGCAGATCTATGAATACTTGGGAATCTTGAAAATTGATGATCCAAAAATGTGTTATAAGATGCACTATTTCTAAAACTTGCAATCCAGTTTTTTCTCATGTCCGTGCATCTTGATGATCAATTTGAGAATATTTGAGCATCAAAACAACCTCTGCTATTGAAATTTTTGAGGTGGGTCCTAATTTGATTGTTTAGAGCCTTGGCTATATAAACTTTTTTCTATATTATTTATTGTTGGTATTATTATTATAGATATGTTCACAGTGGGAATGGAGGGTGGGATGTTATTTTGAGGCATCCCGTCCCCTAACCACTAATGCCCCAACCCCATTCCTAAAGCTAAACCACACCATATAGATCACCCAATTCTCCCAGCTTTTACATTGATGAAAGAAATTGCTTAAGATTGATACTTGCATATCATAACAAAGAGCTTCCATAGCAATGATAACATCAGGGCTGAACGAAGTTCTGTTATCAATCGCAAACATGGAGTGAATGAGCATCAATGCAACGAGTTATTTATTTGATGCTCCACGGTTAGAGAAGGCCACTACCCTTCAGGAGGGTGGATGCTTTGCTTTCAAATTTTTTGGAGGTACTAGTGCTTGTTTAATGTGTTGTCATCAGACTTCATGGAATAAGCACCTGTTTCTGTGTCAGAAAATACTGCATAATTCAAGACAATATTTACTAGACACTGTCGTTACAACAGTCACATAGTCCCAATTACATGTAACATGTTCGTAACATCAATACATGGAAAAATTGCAACCTCTCAAACATAAGAACAAACACATAGCTACTAGAGAAGCATGGGAAGCCAATTAAATGAAATTCTTCAAGGTTACCTCAATGGGGGGACTTCATACACCCCATTGCCAGATCACTTCGACTGATAGTGCGCTGATCAAGGCCCTTGCTTCATTTTAAAGGAATCTCCAAGATGACTCCCTAACCAAGCATCTAATGGTGTGTAATGGTTGAGGCAGATGAGGCTTAAATGGGTTGCAACCCCTTGGCTTTGGCATTCCACCAATTGGGAGAAATTGAGGCGAAAAACAATTCAATCAACTATATAAATGGTATAAATAGTAACGCACATACCAAGCATGATAATGAAGCAGTAAAAACAGGCAAATGGCGGCTGATCTAATGGTGAAAGGGGCTGAGATCAAACCATAAAAATTATGTGGAGCCTAAGGTGATTTGAGCATTAATCAGCCCTTGGTGAGATGGGCTTAATGTATGTGGTCTAGGATGGAGGCTAGTCAGGGGTCAATGTGGACTACATGTCAAGGACCAAAGTGAGCTAAAACAGTGAGGCATGGAGGCCAAGAAATAAGGCTCAACTTGGTAGAGTTTTGTTATGGTTAGAGAGGATGACAAATGGGGTTCTAATGACCCTATTTGAAAAGCATAATTATATCTATTATATGTCCTTTTCCCAATCCTCTATGCGAAATATTTTTTGATAATAGGGTTTTAAGTTTGAGAGCTTGGTATCGATAAATTTACTCTGTTTGTCCAACTCTAAACGACTCCCACACATTTTTGTATTTGCCTATTTTCAGTAATTAGGTTTGGATGAACAAGAACTATTTCTATATTATTTTTAGTTCCTTTTATTTCAGTACCTTTTAATTGCTCTTCTTCCAGTTGGTCACCTCTAATAAATGCCTTCTAGATTCATTTTCTCAAGGATGAGTAACTTTGAAGTATTAAATTTCCAACCTCACTGCTACTCACATTGTAGCAAAGTTGTGAGAGATTTAAGAATGTGGGCATCTCAAAACTCATGGATTGCCCCTATCATCGAGGTTTTAAACATTACTTCTTAGCTACTCTATTTATTTTACTAGGGGATATATGTCACAATTTGTTTGAGAATCTTA